ATGAAGATGTTCTCATCCTTGATAGAGAGGATCTTTGGTTTGAGAGGAGTAAAGGAAGCCATCTTTGTGAAGAAAAACCATCCATCATTAAACAGAGGTGGAGGCCTTCGTGTCCAGTTGTCCTCCTCCTACAACGCTGTTATTGTAAGTATGACTCCGCCCCCTGTGAGCACAAGGTGTGAATCAGGGCTCCAATGATACCAACACAAAGAGGGAAAGAGAGACAAAAACAAGGGGACTTTGAGCCCTGCCTGCATTCACTACATTCACATAACACGACACGAGTCAGGTGATGTGGCACATGACCCTCTATGAACAATAGAAGTAATCAAGCCTATTGTTAGTCGATGACCCTATTTTGCATTTGACTAACCTTTTTGTCCATGTGGAGGCGGAGCTTATAAGGTTGAGTTCACCTGAAACTCAGACTGAAGAAGTCTCTTGGAGGAGAGACGAAACGTTTCACTAAAGAACCCATCCAGAGGACCTACTTATTTTTTCTTTTTGATTTTATAGCATTCACACAATTCTCATGAAGTATTTTCACCTGTCGTGAAGTTGGGCAGTCTTCTCTTTTTCGAACCCATGGACAGACGCTGCTGCAGAGCGTTGAAGAACTCCTGAGGGATGTGATAAACTAAAGGCTCTTGTTTTCCTGATAAGAAAATAAAAATATTTACTCCGCAAAACCACTAATTAAAGGCATCAGAAATAAATACATGGTCATTTATTCTGTAATTAAAGCAAAAATCTTTACATTTGGGTAAATATTCTCAGTACAAGTGTAATAATTATTTTTAACATATTGACTGTATCTTAATATTCAGTCAATCAAATTTTATTTATATTTATATAGCACTTTACAACAGTGACTACTGAACCAAAGAGATTTCCAATAATTCAGTAATAAAAATAAAACAACAACAACCAACACTGGTAGAAACACAACAAAAACAGTGTTACAGTGTACTGACAGCAGTTTTTAACAGATGTGTCTTTAGCTAAGGATGTGAATTGTCTCTCATTCTTTAGGTTTTTTTTTTTATCATTAACAGGTCTTTATATATACAGTATGATTTTCGCTGAATAACTTGTTGTATTACTCCAGCATAACGTTTCAACTCCTGAAAATCAAGACAATTCTCACAACCTGTGGAGGATTACTTTCTGATTTTCCATGAGTTTACTTCAAACATACGGTAACACGCAAAAACATTACTTTTCTTGTGAATTTGGAGTGAAACTCCACTGTATGTCAGAAATTTGAATAAAGTAAGGGAGCAAGTATATATGTATATGTATATA